CTCCGCTCCGCTCCGCTCCACTCCACTCCACTCCACTCCACTCCACTCACTCACTCACTCACTCATACACACCACACTCACATCACTCACATCACTCACATCACTCACATCACTCACATCACTCACATCACTCACTCACATTCTCATTCATGTGCATGCACATACATACACACACGCACACACAAACTCACCCAGCAGCACCCCTCCATCACTCTTATACTTCCTCTTCCCTTCTTTCTGTGCTCAGTGTAAGTCTAGAAAAGTTGGTAACATGTGGGGTTATCCGGTTCTATCTATAATTGTTCTTGTAGATTAGGCAGGTATGTTCAAAATATTCCAAAATCACCATCGCGTATCATCACGTATCATCGCGTATCATGTAAAGACTTGTAAAGACTTGTAACGTGATTATTTCTCGCAGTTTCCGTTGCGACCTTGCGCCGTAACGGAGGTCAAGTCCCTAGCTGGAAGGGGCCGCGGCCGTGGTCGTGGACGTGGGACCAAGAAGAAGTGAGTGCTCTTTAGGAACTGAATATCATCGGATATCAGATTTGGGATGCAGGGCTGGTATCAAAATGTTGCAAGTGCGTATACATCGCTTGTACTTGAGGTGATGAGGCATGATGCTTTGCATGCCTTGTCAAGTCGCAAACAGAGTGGCCATGCGTTTGAACCATGGGTAGCAGCAAGTGCAAAGCAGCTTGACGCGTTTGAATTGGGAAACGATTCCGTCTCGTGTCTTCCTCATGGGCAAGTTCCACGATTTAGCCTGTTATGTACTTTGTTTACTGCATGATCAATGCTCTTTTCAAAACGCTGAATCTTCATAACATATATCTAGTCGAAGGAAGTTTAGAAGTCAAACTTCTGACAATATGGACAGATGGAAAAGCAGAGGTGGTAAGAGTCAGCAAAGAGAAGAGCAGAAGAAAGAAGATCAGAGAAGAGAAAGAGTTAGAAGAAAGAAGATCCAGGTGCGCGAAAAGGTAGAAAAGTCGCGATTCACTGCGTTTTTCCATTGATTTATTTGTGGCTCCGGAGGGTCGAAAAGTAGGCTCGCTAAAGCGGCGGGTGCGGGATGAGAGATGAAAAGTTGCACGCTGTTGTGGCGCGAAGCACATTTCCAAGTCAAAATGTACAAAGCACACCAAGGTCGGAACGCTTTTGGAAGTTGTGATGTCGAAAAAGTGCACGCCGTTGTGGCGCGAAGCACATTTCCAAGTCAAAATGCAGAAAGCACACCATTCTCAGAGCACTTTTTTTGAAAGTTGAGATGTCGAAAAAATGCACGCCGTTGTGGCGCGAAGCATATTTCCAAGTCAAAATGCACAAAGCAAGCACTTTTGGACGTTCAGATGTCGTTTTGGGTGGCCGGCGCAAAAGGGATTCTGCACCTTGTCAAAAGTGAGCAAAACGTGAGGGTTTTTGTAGCAGTTTCAACTACAACCACCATTACACTACACTCCACTACATTACACTACAACTACAACTACAACACTACAACACTCTAAGACACACTACAACACACTACAACACATTGCAACGCACTACAACACACTACAACACATTACAACACACTACAGCACACTACACCACACTACAACACACTACAACACACTACAGCACACTACAGCACACTAGAACACACTACAACACACTACAACACACTACAACACACTACAACACACTATAGCACATTACAACACACTACAACACACTATAGCACATTACAACACACTGCAACACACTACAACTGCAACTACAACTGCAACTACAACCGCACTACAACTACAACTACAGCTACAACTGCACTACATAGCACTAGACTGCACTACACTACACTACATTACATTACATTACACTACACTACACTCATTACACCACCACAAATGCCGCTGCAACTACACTACACTAATTACACTACACCACAGCTACAACTCCACTACAACTACAACTACAACTGCAGCTGCGCTACACCACACTGCATCCAGCAGTTGCGCGTGAGGTGACCGACCAGGTGACCACTGCAACCATTGTAACCATTCCAAAAAACACAACTCCAACCACCTGTCGGTCCATCAGTGGGTTCGCTCTGCCATCCATGCTTCGCAACAACTCACCTCTCCTATAGTGTCCTATTTTTGAAACTTCCGCCACCGCCTTGTGCGGTACTACTGGTATCTTGTAATCGCAGGGTCTGTCATCCCGCATGGCACGAGCATGGCAGTGTCCTGCAGCCGTCTTTTCTGGCTGGGCTACAGTTGCAGTTGCCTTGCAGCCTGACATGATGCTGACAGTGTTCTTGAGTTTTTCGACTGCACTCATCTTCAAACTGTTATGTTATGAAGGAACATGTCAATTGCTGAGATGGTGAGGCCAGATTGTCCATACGTTTGATTACATCGTTTATCTATGTGAAAGCATGTCCAAGTGCCAAAAAGGGTGCATGGTGGTTCTGTCAAGAGGCCAAGGCACCAAAGCAGAATGATGCGACGCGATGGACTCAACCGACTCAATGTGCCAAGGCTTGTTCCTCCCAGCAGCTTCGGCTACTTGCCTCCACAACGGCACCGCGCCCATCAACCGGAAGCTTCTGGTAGCTTGGCGCAGCATGACAAGCTGGTAACTTATCAAACATATGCCAGCTCACTCCAAACGCATAATACCAACAACACTGGAGATGGAGGTCCAGGCGCCAGTGCGACAATTCCAACACCAAGTGAAATGATGTGTTGTGGATTTGTTTATTGTAGAGCTTCGCACACCGGCGATGCCCTTCGGGTTGGAGGCGTTCGTGGTTGTCAAGCTGCGTCGCAGCACAGGTTTGAACAAGGTTAGTATTGTAGGGAAGCTGAGGGCTACCCAGAGCAGCAGAGATAGGCCGAAAGTGTGATCAAGTCCCTGGAGAAGGGCAGAGTGCCGCGGGTAGCGCGAAAGAGGAGGGCAGATAGCAAACATGCGCGCACATTGCCAGTGTTGAGCAGAAGGATGTTTATGGATAGAGTCACACGCAGAGAAAGCTGTAAAAGACACATGGCAGTGAGGCGAAGGGTTCGGCGCGGCAAGGGGGGCTACTCCGCCATGGCAAAAGACACGTGCGTGTAATTGCATCATAATTGATGTTTTGTGCAGCTTGGGCAATCTTGGGGCCATGTTGGGGTTTGTTGGGGCCATCCGGCGCCATGTTGGAGGCATGCTCTGGCCTTGTTGGCGTGCCCAAGCCGGAAGCCGATATTCAAGCAGCTGACTGAACGCTGAGCGGCGCTGTTGTCCCGACTGCGCAGCCAAGCTGCGAGGGGATTGGCAATGCGCACGGCAGAGTTCACTGCCTGGCAAGAAAACCGTGCGTATTCACAAGATGGCACGCAAACATGCCGCAATTGCATGTCCTCTTGGTTTGTCGTGCTGCGCGGCGCGCAAACCAACGCTGACACCACTGAGGGAACGCAACATGCGCCAGCGCCACCAAGCGGTGTTTAGAAGAAGTTTGGCGAGAAATTCAAAACATAATCGCGCAGAAAACAACCAACGCTACTACGGCGCCCGAAGATCCACTGCAAGAGCGTGACAATCGTAGATCAACTGTGCCGGCATCGGAACGTGTTTCGCCGCAGCAGCCAAAGGCGGTACCCGTCTACGAATACACGTACCCATTTTGTGATGCAACTGGACTGAGGTGGTGGGTCAGTCATGGGTCGGCGTCCAGCAATCGCTTTCGCGTGCGGGCAGGCTCTTTTACCACGGATGCCTCACGCGCGGGGCAATGGCGGAATCATCATTGGCAGAAAGGCAAATAAAAGTAAAACATACCCCCCTTGGAATTTCCACAAAAAAATGCAACAACCCGGGTTGTCGCATTTTTTTTTGCCAAAAACAGGTGGTTTTTCCACATGGCTAACCCGGACTCCCCATGTTTTGCAAAGGCTTCCTGGGTCACGATTTTTTAAGAGAGAACATTTTGAGGGGCAATAGGCAAGCTCTTTGAATTTTTGCAATTTGCTACAACTGCTGTTGTGCGCCGGCCACGGTTTGTATCGCAGATGAGCCAAACAAGTTACAACATTGACAACACTTGACAACGCATTTCAAGTGATTTTTCAACAAGGACATTCTTTCAGGGACGCCGGACTATTGGGGCGAAACTTGCGTCCAAACCTGCCCACATTGCGCCATATTGGACCCCGGTTGGGTTCAACTTGGGCCCAGTTGGAGCCAACTGGCCCAAGTTCGGCGCAAGTGAGGCCCCCAAAGTTGGACCCAAGTGGGCTCTTGTTCGGCCCGGCTTAAGGCCAAGGACGGCCAAGTTTGATCCCAGTCGGCTTTGGCTGGGCCAAGTACGCCCGCTCGTCTCCTCTCTATCCAATTCTTTGGGTGCGGGCGGTTCTCGTCGCGAAGCGATCCGAATACAGTCTATGCCTACGATGGGATTTTGTGGACTTGGTATGGGTTATTGGCTGTCCTCACACTTCCACCCGGTTTAGCAGTGGCTGACCGACCGGAACCATTGGGACGGGGCAGAAATGAACCCAGGTCAATCCTGACACAGGAGAGTCCTATCCAGTGCCAGCGCCTCAACGGGGAGGGGTGAAGCAGCAGTTCAGTCTGGCGTCACATGGAGTACTCCACTATGTGCTTCTGAACAGGCAAATTCTGACGCAGTTGCGTCATTAAAGGCATCTCTGATCCCCATGCAAGGATTTGCTTCAGCAGAGACACTTGCCATGTGGGGTTGATGTCCCACAAGCAGATAATGGACATACACTCGGGCATCCAAACAAAAAAATGCCATGCGGCCTCCTTCGCTTAAGAGACGGAAGTTGGTTTTGATGATTTTGAAATGAATTTCTCAATGGCTTGGGGGCAAAGCAGGCAAAACACCTGCGGGACTCCGCACACCAGCAGTCATCAGCAGCAGTTGCATCATGTTCTGCGTTCATTTGCAGGGGAGTATGGGTCGCACAGTGGGCAGCCGCAGAAGCCACCAGCTACATGGTTGGCATTCTGATTGAGGAGAGACCACCACACTTTCTCCTGGAAGCTCTGTTGAGAATCCACAAGAATCTTATGCCCGCTCTGTGAGGTTCTACGTTGAGATTGTTTTTCTTTTTCGATGACAAAATCCTTGTGGTCTCTGTTCATCGCAGAATGGAATTACAAGTTGATAGGCTTCCAGTCTTTGATCAAGAAAATCCTTAGCTAGCCGCCACTGGTCTTTATTTGTACGGCTGTTCTGCTATGTGGTGAGGAGATGTTGGGATTCAACGTCACCTACTCCTTTGGTCCAGGCACAGCTGACGGATACTATGCCATTGCAGGTTGCTCTACTCCCAACAATGCAGCAGACCGTGGCTGTATCGAAGGTCAGGCCACTTGGACGCACAGGGCTTGAGGCGGCCCTCGCTGCATTGACGTGTTCTTGAGCTTGGGAGGCTCAACATGGCCAAGTACATTTTCAATCATTTTCATACATGATCACCGTTGGCTCAAGGTTTGGACGTTCACAGGTTCAGACTGCTGACTCCCAGGTCTCATACCAGCACGTCCACACCGAAGCCTGGCTTTCAGGCTATGAATCTACTTGGAACGCTGTGCAGAAGCTCCAGAATGCCCCAAAAGCGCTCACAAGCATGGGATACTCTGGCTTCGTCTCGTCATACTTCACCAAGAGGGAGCTTGACACAGCTTACGCTACCGAAGGCCTCGCCTTGGACTTTTGGACGGCCTTTGATTCTACCTGGAACCAACCATGGTAGCTTGGCAAAGCCTGGGAGGATCAAGGGCAATGATAGTGAAGGCATGTCAGACTTCGTTTTTGATCATGAAGGGTTCGTCATTTCATCAAACGTGTCTGTGTACATGTAATATATACATATACATATATATATATATACGTATATATATACATATATATATATATGTGTGTATGTGTATGTATATATACATATATATGTGTGTATGTGTATACATATATATATACATTGTTTTACACATATATATTTTTTTTGATTTACACACATATATATATATTAGGACGTGCTTCAATCACGTTTTGAGAGGGTCTCTTTAGTATTTAGGTTTTCGTTATTTGTGTATATATCTATTACGCTGAACATCCCAAATTATTACCTTAAAAGTTCTAAATTAAATTATTACGTTAAATATTTCCAAAAAATGTGATCAAACATACAAATTATTAAAATAATTTTCGTCAAACAATTGCCAACATGAAAAATTATTACATTAAATTTCTCCCAAAAAATATCCAAATTTCCCGGCAAGAGACCCCAAACAGTGCGTAGGTAGGATTCGAAAGGGAAAGGTGGAAAGGACCTAAAAGCATCAGTGGCTGCAAGCTAGCAGGACAAGAGCAACCCTATTAGTGAAAGCATGGTGTTCAGTCAAGGTGGTCTCTCGAAGAAGAGGTATCAGGCAAGATTCTGCAAGTTCCCTTTGCGAAGATCTCTGTAGAAGCTGCTGTGCGAGATCCCTGTGTAAGGCTATCTGTACAATTTGTCTATAGGAGATCTCCACAGAAGATCTTTGTAAGGGATCTCGAAGTGAGATCTCTGCTCAAGCTATCTATAAAGGATCTCCGACCAAGACCTCTGTGCTCTCTGCGCCAGGTCGCTGTACAAGATCTCTATAAGAGCTCTCCTGGAAAGATCTCTGTACAAGCTCTCTATCATGAGAGCTCCGTTGGCAAGATCTCCGTAAGAGACCTCTTGGCAAGATCTCTGCACAGGTCTCTATAAAAGGTCCCTTGGCAAGACCTCTGGACAAGATCTCTACAAGAGATCTCTTGCCAAGATCTCTGTATGAGATCTCTGTACAGGCTCTCTATAAAAGCTCTCTTGGCAAGATTTATGTAAGAAACCTCCTGGCAAGATCTCTGCAACAGATCTCTACGCAATGTCTCTGTACAAGATCTCCATGAGGAGTGTCTTGGCAAGATCTCTGTACAAGGTCTCTATCAGAGGTCTCTTGGCAAGACTCTTGAAGGGATCTCTGCACAAGCTCTCTATAAGGGCTCTTTTGGCAAGATTTTTGTAAGAGACCTCTTGTTGAGATCTCTGTACAAGATCTCTATAAGAGCTCTCTGTACAAGATCTCTGGGCAAGCTCTGTATAAGAGACCTCCTTGTCAAGATCTCTGCGCAAGATCTCTTTGACCATCCACATGAGCACCGCACCGCAACGAGAGCGATGTGACAGGCCCAAAGTGACGAGAGGGTTGCGCGAGCCATCTCAAAATGAGCACCGCGCCACAGCGAGAGCCATCTGACGGGCCCAAATTGCCGAGAGGGTTGCACGAGCAATGTCAAAATTCGCACTGTGTCTCAGCGAGAGCGATCTGACAGGCCCAAAGTGACCAGAGGGTTCCACGGGCGATCTCACAAGAGCCATTTGGTATGGAAATTCACAGGGGCAATGCCGGACGCGTCGCCCGCAGCCATTGTTTTGCGCGAGCCTGCTCAGTCGAAATGCACATGGACATTTCACAAGAGCCACTTTGCGCAGAAATTCACAGGGAAAATGTTAGACTCGTCGGCTGGACGCCGGTTTTGCGCGAGCCTGCACAGTCAAAATGCACATTGACATTTCACAACAGCAATTTTGCGTGGAAATTCACAGGGAAATTGCCAAACGCGACGGATACCACCTCGATTGAACACCGGGCCTTAACACCTACCATAACAACCCCTCAATGTGGCCACGCTGTTTGGGGAACAATCTTGTCATGCGCTGGTCATGTAAAATGTCGTGCGTGCAAATACTGCGACAGTCTCTGCGAGAACCCAGTTCAAATGAACTTGACGCCTGCAAGCGAGAAGGAGCAACAGCAGCCCAACAGAGTGTCATTCGATAAGCATCGAAGACTCCGCGGGAGACTACTTCTACAGAACCGTCTCTTGGAGAAGATGCCAAGTTCAAGGCCCGTCCTAGTATCTTTGAAAGTGAACACACCATCGTAAAAAGCTCCTATGATCGTTCCAAGTCATCGCAAAAAGGTTTCGGAGAGCACCTGGTAAGGATGATCTGCAATACATCTTTCAGAGGGCTCTGGCAGGATCTCCGTAACAGATCTCGATGCAAAAGCTAGTATGGCAAGATCTCCGTAACAGATCTCGATGCAAAATCGGTATCACAGGTGGCCGGGCAAGATCTCCGTGCCAGGTCTATGCAAGTTCCCTTTGTGAAGGTCTCTGTAAAAGATCGTGCGCGAACTCTCCTTGACAGCTTCTGTGCAAAAGCTGCTGTACAAGATCCCTGTAAGGCTAGCTGAAATGCCGGCCGCGTCGCCCGCAGCCATTGTTTTGTGCGAGCCCGCGGTCGAAATGCAGATGGACATTTCACAAGAGCCATTTTGCGCGGAAATTTACAGGGGGAATGCCGGGCGCGTCGCCCGCGGCCATCGTTTTGTGCGAGCCTGCGCAGTCGAAATGCACATGGACATTTCACAAGAGCCACTTTGCGCGGAAATTCACAGGGAAAATGTTAGACTCGTCGGCTGGACGCCGGTTTTGCGCGAGCCTGCACAGTCAAAATGCACATGGACATTTCACAACAGCCATTTTTCGTGGAAATTCACAGGGAAATTGCCAAACGCGACGGATACCACCTCGATTGAACACCGGGCCTTAACACCTACCATAACAACCCCTCAGTGTGGTCACGCTGTTTGGGGAAAAAAGACAGTATTACAAATTGGTCCAAACAAAGGTCGAACAAAGACAAATTATTGCGTTATGTTTTTTCCAAAAAATAGTTTGGAAAACAAGTCACGGTAATTTGTTAAAAGAAAATAATTGCAAAATATTTGTACAAAATGGTCGTAAAATTGGACCTTTTGGGATTCTCAAAACTGCCACAATTTTATATATTTCAAATTCCAAACTTTTACGTTAACCCTCCCTGGTTAACGTAATGGTTTTAGTCTTCAACGGAAATCATTATAGTATGCAGCTGACGTTAACAAATTATTACGATAACCCAGGGGGTTAACGCGTAATAATTTTGGGAACATGTTAGAGTCTGGAACCTGTTTTGGAGACATTTTGAATCATGTTTTGATATCATGTAAATCTTTTTTTCGGTATTCCCAGACCCACCCAAACAATATATAAAATAATCACTTACCCCCATTAAAGTAATAATAGCATACAACGACGTAACAATTTACACCCGTTTAACGTAATAACAACGTAATGATTTAGAGTCCGGGTCTTTGTGGGAGCGCGCTTTTTTGGTGCTTTTTTGGTAAGTTTTATGTATTGAATAATGTAGAAGATGAGTCACTTCAAACATCTGTTTATGTTTGTCTTACTTTTGACGCGTACCAGAGAGAGTTATAAGGATATATATATTTATTTAATTAACTTTATTTATGTACAGGTATGTATTGTGTAAGAAGTTTTGGCTTCAAGTCTTGGGTGTATACGGTACATATCCAAATTTGTACATCAGGCAAAAATAAATTATAGGACCGGATAACCCCACATGTTAACAACTTCTCCAGACTTAGACTGAGCACAGAAAAGCAACAAGGGAAGAGGAAGTATGAGAGTGACGGAGGGGTGATGGTGGGTGAGTTTGTGTGTATGTATGTATGTATGTATGTATGTATGTATGTATGTATGTATGTATGTATGTATGTATGTATGTATATATGTATGTATGTATATATGTATGTATATATATGTATGTATGTATGTATGTATGTATGTATATATGTATGTATGTATATATGTATGTATATATATGTATGTATGTATGTATGTATGGATGGATGGATGGATGGATGTATGTATGTATGTATGTGCATGTACAGGCGTGTCACTTTGGTAGTGTGTTAACGATATGTGTACCGGGTGTATGTGATGTTTTACGTATTTGTATGTGTGTGTGTGAGGTGATATTATTTCGTGTGATGTGAGGTTGGGTGGTAGTAATGCAAATGTATGCAAACGTAAATATATCGATCTTGTTGCATGTGACGTAAAGTTTTGACGCGTCAAGTGATGTTTTGGTATGTGATGTTGTGATGATGTACATGTGCTGTGTTCATGTTGTGCGCGTCTGTGTACATATATGGCTGTGTGTGTGTGTACGTGAGTGCGTGGTTGCGCGTGTGTATGGTCATATGGTGATTTGGTGATATGTTTACGGCACATATATATCCGATGATGTATGTTTCAGTTCATATGTATATATAATCCTCCGTCGCTTTGCGGACTTTTTGCTTCTAGGCATATTGGTTGTCCAAGTGCCACAGACCAGCATCATGACCTGATCAGACACAATGAATAGACAAGCCATGATAAGCTCACAAGCAATCAATCTGAATGAGCTGAGTTGATACATCACCGGCAGAGCGGCGGAGACCAAGGGACGCCAGAGGGACACCGGGGCGTACATCCGACCCCTTGGCAGTGCACATTGTCCCACGCCTGCCACGCAAAAGCCAACGGGGTGTACATCCGACCCCTTGGCAGTGCACATTGTCCCACGCCTGCCACGCAAAAGCCACCGGCAGACTCGCGACCGGTTGTCTGACTCGCGACCTGGTTGGCTGACTCGCGACCTGGTTGGCTGACTCGTGACCTGGTTGGCTGGCTCGCGACCGGGTGTCTGACTCGCGACCTGGTTGTCTGATGCGCGGGTTGTCTGACGCGCGGCCTAGTTGTCTGACTCGTGACCTGGTTGTCCGACTCGCGGCCTGGTTGTCTGACTCGCGCCACCCTGGTTGGCTGACTTGCGCCTTCCGGTTGGCTGACTCGCGCCTTCCGGTTGGCTGACTCGAGCCTTCCTGTTGGCTGACTCAAGCCTCCCTGTTGGCTGACACGGTCTTCGCATGTCTTCGCCCTATTTTCTGGCCTCGTTCGGGCCTTGTTTTGGCCTCGTTTTTGGCCCCGTTCGGAACCCGTTGCAGAAATATTGAGTTGAGATGTATATCGGGACCCCGTAGCCATAGATTTGTTTCCAAAACATACCAAAACATACATGAATCATGCATTCACATTGTGTTTTGAACGAAAAGATGACATTTCTTAGATGTACTTGTTATATTTTGAACATTAGGATTAGATGCGTTTTGCAACAAAAAAGATAGTTTACCCAAACACACATGAATCATGCGTTTACATGGTGTTTTGATATTGAAACATTTGAAACACGTCATTTTGTTAATAATTGTCCATAGATTGAATCCACTGGGGTGACTTGCGTTCTCATGGTGTTTTGCACATTTGGGATGATATTTTGTTGTACTTTTTTCATTTTCGTGCTGCGTTTACAATGGGCGAAAAAGTTGGGGTGACTTTTCCTAGCAGTTGGGGGGCGTAGTTCCATGCGGGAATGACAGTTGACTGCAACGTTGGGGGACCTTCGCTGGCATTGAGTAACAGCAGCATGGATGATTCTCCGTTCGCCCCTCTTGAACTTGATGCGGTCTTGACGGTGCTGAAGAACAAAAAGGCACCTGGTCCAGACACTTGTAGGTCAGAACTAGTCAAATGGCTTTCTGGAATAAACAGACTGTATTTGTTGGAACTTTGAATCATATTCATATCAACGGCATTTACCCTGAATGTTTCACATTGGCCAACATTGCTGCTCTGTATAAGAAAGGGGATGCCACTCAAATGAAAAATTACAGGCCCATAGCCCTACTTCAGGTGTTCTACAAGATCCTTGCTAGATTAGTCCGTAGTCGATTCCAGTGCACATATGACTCCTGGATTTAAAATTCTCAATTTGGTTTTAGACCCGAGAAATCAACATCACGATCCATTTTTGTAGCAAGACGGCTCTCGGACACAGCCGAACGACGACAGTTGAATATGACGTTGGTACTTTTAGATTGGGAGAAAGCTTTTGATAAAATTAATCAATCTAAACTGCTACAAGTTTTGAGGCGCCTTAAGACACCCCCAACATGTTACGACTAGTAACTCGCATGTACGAAACCCCAAATTTAGAAATAACAACTTACGGTCCTCCAGGTACAGAAGACAAGAGTCAGGCATCCGCCAAGGATACCCCCTATCACCATTCCTATTTATACTTCTTATAGGGGCCCTCTTTCAAGATCTCAAATCCAAACTCAACACACCAAAGCAACTGGAACCCATTAAAGGCATACGGTATGCAGAAATCCTCTATGCAGATGATACTTTGATTTTTGGGACACATATCCAATCAGTCAGTAAATTGTTGCACGCAATACAGCGGGAATCCTCATACGACAATCTCAGTTTAATTTATGACAAATGCATTAACCTGTCATTCCACCAGAACAATCTAGCGTCAAATATCTGGATGGAACGCTCGTCCCCCGAAAACATGAAGCAATATATTTGGGAACACTGCTTTCAGATAGTGCAAAGAACCAACGGGGAGTGCTTAACAGATTGGCAGCGGCAATGGCAACATGTAATAGGTTGAAGGGTTTTGGGGCAAAGATCGTACCACCATCAAGTGGAAAATCCGTGTTCTTGATTCAATCTTGAACAGCAAAGTATTATATGGACTCGAATGTATAGAACTCACAACCTCAGATAAGGATAGAACTAATGCTTTTCAAATGAAGGGATTGCGGCGAATTCTCAAGATTCCGCACACATTCATTGACCGTTCATACACGAATCAGAAAGTCTTTGAAACTCTCAAAAACTATTTTGACTCTGAAGTTGAACTCTTCTCCAGTACATGGTTAAAGCGTAAGTTGAAACTTTTTGGCCACATTTTCAGAACAAACCCAGACGATCCGTTGCCACAAGTGCTGGTTGAATACAATTCTTACACGCCCCGCATAGAACATCGAAGACCCGGAAAACCTCGAACTTCCTGTCTGCTACAATCCTTCAAAGATGCTTTTGGGATGCTAGGACGCAATCAAGAATACGACTACAACAACCGAGAGCACCAAAGCTTTGTAATCACAAATGCGCTCAATAGGCAGGGCATCTTTGCCCAATGATCTATGTGCCAAAACTAGCATCGTACGTGCCCAGCAATCGAAGATCTCACTGAATTTTTGTCACGGATTTTCGTCACTGAATTTTCATCATCGAATTTCGTCACCGAATGCACATCCTGACGCAGGTCAGGGTGAATGTTATAGGTTGATTGGCTTGTTTGTTCCTTAAACAGTTCACTAGCTAAAATATAATTTGTTCACCTTCACTTTTTTGATCTTTTATTTGCTGAGACAATGGTTCCTGGTTCTGCTGCGCTAAATATATATTTTCTTTCCGTTCCCCTCAACTTCATACAGGATGACTACGCGAAGGCGGGCGCTGGCTATGTGAAAGGCGTTGAGAATTTCAAAGATGTTTCACACATTCTTAATTCATATCTCCTCAGCCGATTACCTCTCTACTTTTGTTCATTTTTTTGCAATTTCAAGGGCGGCAGTCTGCACGGTTTAAAGAAAGTATGATCATGGATGGAACAGGCAGAGCCCCGCTACCATGAAAAGTTTGAGGTTGCTGTTGTATCAGCCTGTTGATCTGCTGACGCTGTGAACTGTTGTAGCAAACCTTTGTTGCACACGCTGTATTGTTACACTGCCAATCTGTTGTCTTAACAGTTGGCTCAAGGCCTATATGTTGATCCAATGCCGAGACATGTAGGGCAACTATGTTGGTCACAGGAGCGCAGCGTTGATTCTTAACAATACATACATACATGCAATACAAATACAATACAATACAATACAAATACAAATACAAATACAAATACAATACCAATACCAATACAATACAATGCAATACAATACAATACAATACAAATACAAATACAGATACAAATACAAATACAAATACAAAACAATACAATACCATACAATACAATACAAATCAAATACAATACAATACAATACAATATATACATGCATACATACATGTATGTTTTCAGATTTACACACATATACACAAATATACACACAATTAAAAAGGTATCTGTATATATGAAACATTCACACGTATTTAAATATATATACACACACACTTACATGTACATATACATATACATTCACATACACATATGCATATACACATACATACACATATGCATACATGTTAAACAGATAGAGTGGTAGACGGTCAGACAGACGGACGAAGGGACAGACTGACAGACAGACCGACCGACCGACCAACAGACAGACACACAGACACACACATGGATAGATAGACAGAAAAACAGACAGACAGACAGACAGACAGGCAGACAGACAGACAGACAGACAGAGAGAGAGAGAGAGGGAGAAAAACAAAAATAGAGACAGAGAACAAGAGAGAGAGAGAGAGAGAAAAACGTGATTGAACTTATGATTGGACCATTAGTTTATCGTTTTGGACTATTTTGTCTGCCAGATTTTTGATTTTGCAGCCAAGGAAGTACTTCGACAACCCTTCAGTTGTGAACAGGTCTGAAACGTTGCCTTGTAGTCAGTCGAATTTCTACGAACATAACATCATGCGATCGTACCTGACGTGGTCCGGAGACACTGCAGGAGTGATCACTCAACCTGATGGCTCGCTGATAGGAAATTGTCAAGATGGTTACTTCTGGCAGGCTCCAGCATGCCGAGGAAACATTGCAAATTGCATTGTTTATTTCACAGGCGGCAAAGGCTACAGTTTGACCGAAACCATGCAGAAGGCCGCGAAGTGGAACATGCCTTTGGCCATCGGAATCGGTGCAACATGGTCAGACTTTGTCAGCCTGCCTTCCAAACACAAGTCTCTGTTCTATTGGTGGGTCCCTGACCCCACTTTCTTGGCGATGGATCCTGTAAAAAGCAGCTTCCCCGACTACAACAAGCAAGCGTGGGCAAATGGAGACCAGTCGACAGCATCGAGTTCGCTGCCAGTTCACAAAATTGTGAGCAGGGACTTGTCTTCCTTATCCCCTCGTCTTGAGCTGTTGGTAGACAATTTCAACATCGACATGGGCTCATTGAACAAGATTTTGATGGAGCAGATTTCCAGTGGAGATGACTGGAAGTCGGTGGCTTGCGAATGGTTGCAGAACAATGAAGAAACATGGCGGCTCGGCGGTGGCGTAAGGGCCTTAGGTCACTTTTCATTTTTTTTTGCTTGAGCAAGCTGCTCAAAGTTGTGGTTGGGAGGGGATCAGCCCCTTAAATATTCGTTGGATGTCTAGGGATATCTTGTGGACCTCAACATTGGTCGGCCTGTTCGGCAGCCTGTCCCCAGGCAAGAGTGGTTGCCAGATGAGTCGACCTGCTTCCCAACACTCGGCCTGTACAACAAAATCACTGATGAGTTCGTGCCAGACCGCAGTAACAAAGATGGCCTGGTGTGCCTTAGTCCAACACAGTGAGATTTTCAGACGTTACTGTAAACTAGATGGAACGTGTGCCTCTTGTTCCCTGATCATGTGGATTGTGTTGGCCTTGCGTATCTAATGCAGAATGGCTCTTCGGAGCTGCCAGTGCGTAGTTTTGTTTGACTTGTGTCGTGTTCGCCGGCAATAGGCAGTTTAGACAGAACTAGCTGCTCGTGATTGAGGCATTTGGAGGAGTTCATACATAACCGGAAGTTTCCGGAAGCCTGACTAAGGTGAATCAGGTCTCAGGGAACATAGGGAATTGGCCAATTGGAACTAATGGATCTCAGCACGTGCGTATCATTTCTGGGTCAGCCGTAGGTGCCGAGCCTGCCCCAGCGGAACTTACTCGGTTCAGATCTCGGATGATGATGGAGTGACGTACATCTGCCAGGCTTGCGCTCCAGGCACTGGCGCCCAAGGGTGTTTGGGGATGCCTGACGACACGATGTTTGAAGTGTTGAGACTGGCCAATGAAGCAAGTGAAGCATGAGAGAAATTGCAAGATGGCCCAGATAGAAGCTGTTGGCATCTGAACTTGAGTTTTCAGCCAGCTGGGTTCATACTGTAGATCTGTTGCTCATGTGTTTTGTCATGCCCATCGCTGAATGCATTGACAGGCACGAGCCAGTCTAGTGGAGCGGCATTGGCCTGTGAACCATGTGCGAAGGGCCTATTCCAAGATCAGCCCGGACAGCTACGCTGTAAACGATGTGAAGTTGGTACGTACCAGGATGAAGAGGGCAGCCCCACTTGCAAACAGTATCTTGGCTAATTCAACACACGGTGGCCGATGTAGAAGCTTTGTTAAACCATGTTAAACCATGTTAGAGCGGTTTGGATACAAGTCTGAGAGAATGGCGGGTGGCAACCCCCACCAAGAGAATGCGGTCAGCCATGCAAGCGGCTCGTCACTTTCGTCGTCTTCCTCCTGGAAGCCTACTTCATATCTAGATTCAGAGAAGACCGCTCGTAAGATCGCTATATAATGTTTTTCGGAGGGGTGTGTGTGTGTGTCTGCCTGCCTGCCTGCCTGTCTGTCTGTCCGTCCGTCCGTCCGTCCGTCTGTCGTTCTGTGCTTGTGTTTGAATTGGTATGTGTGTTTGTAGTTGCGTTGGTTTGTGTCTGTGTGTGTGTGTGCGTCCGTTCCATGTGTGCGTGGGGCGGGGAGGGTCCCATGTGCTTGTCTGCATTCTGCTAACAAAGACTTCTTGAGGGTCTTCAGGGCCATCACCCTCATTCGTTTGACCCACTGGCTATACATTGCGCTTGCCTTCACGGGTACAAGCTGCGCGCATTTTGCCATTTGGATGTCTCATACCTCAGCAGTGTGTCCCCTCTCGGTTTTATGATCGCTTATCATCTATTATCTTGCACCGCTGTGTTGAGGTGTCCATTAAACAGTCGAACTTTGGCCTTGGGCTCCGTGGAATTCGGCGATTGCGGCTGCGAGGAGAATTACATCGATGTCGGAGGCGAAGGCAAAGCCGACCTGGAAGTATAGGCCAAAAAAGATTTGCCGAAATGTGCGGGGCAGTATTTGCATCCTGCAATTGTCACTCCTGCGTTTGCCCAGGCAATCTGACTTGCGCGGCCTGTCAGGCAGGCCTTCTTTGTCCATTGATGGGGACTGAGGAGAGCCTCTTGCCCGGCAATTTCAGTAAGCCGCGAAGCTTATTTTTCTGTGCATTTATATGTATCTTGAACGTATCGCTTTCGCATACTTTTTGTGCCGTGCCTTCGGTTTCCGAATCATAGAGCAACGCATCCATTCAGTTGAAATAGCAGCTTTTCACCCCTAGAACACTTTGTCTTCGCGCAGAAAGCATTACATGAACATACACCAACAGCCATCAATGACATCAGTGCTTCAGCTGAGGCTTGAAAAAAGGATCTCATCCTTTGGGTGAAGGCTACACCCCGAAAGTTCTGGAAGGCTACTACTCTAAAAAGGATTCGCCGCTGCAGGCAACGGGTTGATTTTGGGATGGATCGCCCCCCTTGAACTTAGTGTTTGATAGTGCTTCTACATGGGGTTGCTGAGTTGCTTTCCAGAACACTGACGCTAGAAAGCTTTATCATACACGTGTGCTTACAGAGGCTCATTGGTATTTGTGTGTGCACTGAATCTTCTGCAGGGCTTTGAAAGAGAACCCCAGGTCATAAAGTGATCATTGTATCTCAGGTAACATGGCTTTTCCATGCTTTTCCCGCATTGTTTCTATTTGATGTTTCCCGGTCTTGACTCATAAGATGGTGTCATGGCTCACTTGTCACGAAAGCTAGCGATAGCTTCAGCAAGGGAGGGGCAGCGCTGAGTCCAACACAGTGATTTTTCACGTGAAACCCGCCCCTCCCCCCAAAGCTCCCGTGGCATTTTGGAGCGGTCTTGGAAGCAGATGGTCGCAGGCTCAAATCCTGCCAGGTGCATGCTAGTCTCTAGGCAATCTGTCCTAACCATATCAAAGCCCCATCATGTTTCCAAGTCATATGAACCTTAGCTTTCGTGCGCCCGCTCTGGGCCTTAAGTCGTTGACTACCTGACTCGAGGGACGTTGGGGTTGTCGGCCGACAAACCGTTTCCAGAGCGTGGTGCTTGCGTGGAAACAGCAATGCTGCATACCCCGACCAGATCCTATCTGGAATTCATCAGTTTCATTTGAGCCAAGGCTGCTAGTCTGACAGTTAGAGTATTCGGCGAAGCAGTGCCACAATATTTTGGAGACCGCAAACAATGCAAGCATCCGCCGGGGTTCTCTTGAGGCTGACGCATGTGTGTGATTTTGCAGGCGTATTTTTAAGGGTGCTTTTTCAAGGTGCACTTGAGAGACCCCTGCTTGGAATTTTCTAGAAAACCAAGGTTTTGTAGATGGCCAAGTTGTAAGGGACCCCTGTTTGAGATTTTGTAAGAACCCTCAAAACCACATAAGTTCACATAAGTTCAAAATACTTCAAAGCCGTTCAAACACCTTTCAAGCGAAGGAATGTTGACCAAACATGTTCTGCAAACATGCCGCGCGCTTCCTGCACAACAGTTTTTTGTGGGTGATTTACACCAATCGGTGTTGTTAGTTTGTTGGACTGAACGAAATAATTGAAAATCGGTGCATGCCATGCCATCAGCCGGGATTTCATAGATGGCCTTCATAATTGTTTACCCTACTTTTTGCCTGCAGCCTTTTTGACCGCCGCTGCCACCCCATTGCATTTTTTTGATATTGTTCGTGGTGTTTTTAGCGCTCGCGCCCCACTACAAATTCACGAATCCAAAGTGTACTAGACCTAACCTATCAATACCATCCAGTGGTATTCAAGACCGTGAAAAACTAACCAAAAAGACAATACTGTAAACGCAAATAAATATCATTCGAATCAACCCGAAGTATGTCTTAAATGATGATCTTCATCGTTTAGGGTTTTGGCTTTTTTTGGTTGTTAACCAGATTTCTTTTGAAAGGGGTCCTCAAGATAAAAGCTGTCCTGGCCAAGAATGTTTCCTATGCGCGCGGGCGCAAAAAAGGCTTCATTTTGGGCGCCTTTTTTTGCGTGCACATAGTAAACATTGGAGTTTAGAACCGTTTTTGCCTTGAGGACTCCTTTGAAAGGAAATCTTTTGGTCTTGAATGGCTTTGAGTATCAATGAATGGTATTGATAGGATTGTGTGCTTTGGTGAGGGATGGGGGCCCGACAAGATTTTACAAAATATGGGCCATGGATGAAGAATAGCCATGCCCCTACAAAATCCCAAACATAGGTCATTAGGTTAAAAAAAAGTGGTGAGGGGGCTACCCCCAACCCTTTCCCAATAGTAGGTTAGAAGGGCAGTAGGGAAGCTTAGACGTCTATACTTCCGTGTTACGGATCTCTGGAAGTCAGCAAATGGATGTCACAGCAAATGATGCGATGTCAAAGCAAATGGATGTCACAGCAAATGGCTGTCAAAGAAATGGGATGTCAAAGCAGTGGGATGTCAAAGCAAATGGATGTCACAGCAAATGGATGCCAAAGCAATGGGATGTCACAGCAAATGGCTGTCAAAGCAATGGGATGTCAAAGCAAATGGATGTCACAGCAAATGGCTGTCAAAGCAGTGTGACGTCAAAGCAATGGGTTGTCAAAGCAATGGGATGTCAAAGCAAATGGATGCCAAAGCAGTGGGATGTCAAAGCAAATGGATGTCAAAGCAATGGGCTGCCACAGCAAATGGATGTCACAGCAAATGGATGTAACAGCAGTGGGATGTCAAAGCAATGGGATGTCAAAGCAATGGGATGTCAAAGCAAATGGATGTCAAAGCAATGGGATGTCAAAGCAAATGGATGTCAAAGCAATGGGATGTCAAAGCAAATGGATGTCACAGCAAATGGCTGTCACAGCAAATGGATGTCACAGCGGTGGGATGTCCGTTTCCCACGAAAGCTTCGTTTTCACATCTTCCACTTTCACTTTTTGAGGGAAGTCTCCCACGAAAGCTTCGGTTTCACATCTTCCACTTTCACTTTCTGAGGGAAGTTTCGCACGAAAGCTTCGCTTTCACATCTTCCACTTTCACTTTTTGAGGGAAGTCTCGCACGAAAGCTTCGGTTTCACATCTTCCGCTTTCACTTTCTGGGGGAAATTTCGCACGAAAGCTTCTTTTCACATCTTCCACTTTCACTTTTTGAGGGAAGTTTCGCACTAAACCTTCGTTTTGGCATCTTCCGCTTTGAGTACTACGACAGCTTCGTTTTCACATCTTCCACTTTCACTTTTTGAGGGAAGTCTCGCACGAAAGCTTCGGTTTCACATCTTCCACTTTCACTTTTTGAGGGAAGTCTCTCACGAAAGCTTCGGTTTCACATCTTCCACTTTCACTTTTTGAGGGAAGTCTCGCACTGAGGCGTAGAATGGAGAAGCTGAGACGAGCTGAAAAGAGAAGACTTGAGATGAGCTGAGAAGAGATGAGAAAAGCTCGGGTGACATGACAAAAGATGAGAACAGCAGATGAACTTTTCTTGTCCGCACGGGAAAAAATGCTGCAGTGTCTTGCTGGAATGGGAAAGAGATTGACTGGCAAGCGCAAGAAAAATAATATGAAAGATAAGCTGTTTTGACATGAGATGAAGAAGCACGGGGTGAGCATGCAAAGTGCTAAGGCAGATGAAAAGATGGCAAGTGGATTTCGAAGAAGATGAGGTGACATGAAATAAGCTGAGATGAGATTGGCTCAGGTAGGGCGAGATGAGATGAGCTGAGATGACATGATGTCAGATGGAACAGAAAAGGTGAAGAACAAGACTAAAGAAGCTGTGACAAGACAAGAGGACAAATGGCATGAGAAGACAAGGTTCACACACAGATGAAGTGAGATGAGATGAAATGAAATCGACTGAGATGAAGTGACAAGAGACGCGATGACATGCAATGAGACCAGTTGAAACGAGAATGTGATAAGTCGAGAGGCTGTTTCTGCGAAGCACAGAAGGTTTCGCCGCCCCCTATAGGCACAGCCTTTGTTCCGCTCTATAGGCTATAAGTGTTTCAACTGTGAAACTTCCGCCCCAGGCTTGCCGAGGAACTACTTGTAAGTAGTTATGTATGTAATGTAGTGTAGTGTAGCGTAGTGTAGTGTAATGGCATGGCATGGCATGGCATGGTATGGTATGGTATGATTATTCTATGTGCTGCTTTCTTGGTGCGTATGTGGGACCCAGTATATCACAGTATTTTTACCCAGTATATCACAATATTTTTAGTGCAACAACTTGCGCTCAGTATGCATCATAGTACATGATGGATTATGGCAGTATATAGTGGAGGCCGCGTTGCTTGCTCAGGGCAAGCTTGTCACAGGTCCTGGTGATGGTGCTTAGTTTCGTGGCAGCTGTTTTTACAGGTCAGGAGGGTGCAAATGGCACGGCATACAGTTCCAAAAGTGGTGCAACCTCGTAAAGCAACTCTGACCCTGCAAACCTGAAGGTTTCAAGAAGAACAGCATCCCTTGCACCTGCAAACCTGAAGGAAACGGTCCCTAGCCCCGGGAAGGGGAGGATGGCGGCGCAAATCAGCAATGCCAAAAAAAAAGTGGGGTCAGCCAACAGCGCATGACATTCCGCTGACAAACTACTCAAAAAGGTGAGATTGCAGACCCGATGAGCAGCTAGTGTGGCCATCTTGATCTTGTTTCTTCTTTACGCCGCTCCCAGATTCATTCCGCAATCCCAATGCAAAGCCAATTGCGCGCCAGTGGTGGGTCAGGTTGTAGACTTTCGGGCTGGGCATTTTTGCTTGGAAGACGGGAGCCTGCCCCAGGTGTACAAGTGTGGAAAAGTCTTCCAGTGCCCAGGAGCCGGGTCACATCTTGCTATGTGGCCAACAACCAGGGATGTCTCTCAACTATCTTCGCTTCGCCCATAGAAAATTCATGTGGTTCATGTATACTCATGTCAAATTTGACTCGAACCGCAGGAGGTTTGCCTGACACTTGTGCTGGTGGACTGACTGGCACCCCATGTGCCGAGTGTCCACAAGGCCAGCTGGTGAAGGGATATGCCAGGTGACAACATGTACAGTACAGTAACACCAACATGTAACACACAAACTATCATATCTAAAGTTGTATTCAAACTGACCTCCTCGTGTGCCACAGGAGGCCAGACGTACAGCGATGGCTGTGAGGAGTGCGAGCTTTGGAGGCAATTTGCGTGGGTCTTGGGCTCAGCCTTTGAAGATTGAAAAGACGTCCTTAAACAAAGGCCCTCTGCCTTGTCTATCAGAGTCTACCAAACAAAGTTCCAGTGTGCTGTGCTGTGCTGCGAACAATAAGCCCAATAAGGGAACGGAAAATGTATCAAGATTGGTGGAAGCAGATTCGAGGTGTTTAAGGCATGCTGCTTGTCTCCCATCTCATCCCGAGGTGATCGGTGCCTTCTTCTGTCTCTTTATCCTCACTATGTCCTATTACCTAATGACGTCGAAAGTTACCGCAAAAGCATCAGTTCTTTTCACCACCACCTGTGCTTTCGGCATGCTGGTCTCCCTGCTGCAGAGTATTGGCATCATTGGTGGCATGACGGTGGAATTTCCAATCAACATCAAGGGACTCTTCTCCTTCATGTCCATCTTTGTGCTGGATTTGGAGAGCTTTGGATTTGCTTGCTTTGCTGGAGCCAATACTGCCTTCCGCTACAGTGTCAGTGTGGTTCTATTCCCTATTGCAGTGGGATGGTTGGCTTTGAACTTCGGAGCAGCTTGGCTGGAGTGGGCTGCTGCAGCTGTGGCTTTAGGTTCTCTTCATATTTAGTCAATCCTGGGGAGCATTTTCCGGACATGCCCAGACGCAGACCATACCAGTAGTGCACGATGCGGGGATTCCCAGGAATCTGTATGTCACTCTGCGCTGGTTTCCAGGTGAGCAAGCTTGTTCCGCGACATGCTTGGGACTTGACGAAAGTGCTCAGCTGCATGGGGCAGGTCATGCAGGCGCAGGGCGTCGAAGAGAGCCAGGGCACATGACAAAAAGAAATAGAAAACATGTTAAAAAGAAAGTCATACATCTTTCCGTTCTGTTCCTGATTTGGCCCCATGCTGTCAAACGCAATTGTCATCCTATGAGTGAACCACTTGCACCAGCTTGCGAGCCTGGAACCTCGCATGCCAGGATGCATTTTGCAGTTGTGCAATTCTTCTTCCGAGAAATGTCCAAAAAAATCAAACGAGGTAGTGTGCAGGCATCTCAACAGGATCCACCAAATTGACAACAGATGTGATTTGTTTTCCTGCGGGGCCATCTCTTTGCACTGCATGGATTTGCATTGAGGTGGGCTTCTCTACAATGTCTGCCGTTGCTCTCGCGCCGTTCATGTGCTACCTGTTTGAAGGGAAATTCAGCAGGAAATATGTACCTTCTGGTAATCAAACGCGGCGATTTTCCAGTGTAAATGGTAGTTTTAGTACGAAAAGCATCAATCTAAACAGGGATTTTCCAGCAAGCCACGTTTGATTTGATTGTATACCAGATGGTATCAATACTTCATTGGAAATCCTGCATGTTTTCCTGACTGAATCCTACCGAGGCTATACTCACCCCAACAACATGCTCTCTCTCTCTTGAAGTATCCAAATGTCCTCTGTGGCTCGGACGAGCACGCTTCGATGCTGGTGGGCGGCTCGTTGTTGTTGGTCATTTGCGTATTTGGCTTCCTCGCCTTGTGCACATACGCAGCCTACAGAGTGCCAAGTTGGAGCGCCACGGAAAATCACAAGTATGTCCGCTGCTTTCGCTTCCTGGTCTTCCGGTTTCGTTTGGACAGTTGGTGGTTTGGAGTTCCTCTATTGATGAGAGGACCCCTCATCTCTTTGCCCATTGTCTTCGCGACAGACTACGCGGGCATCCAGACAGTCTGGGTGACCGTCATCCTCCTCAGCTTTTTGGCTTGCCAGGCCCTGGCGTGGCCATGGAAGGTGCCGGGGTATTGGTACGCACCACGGTGCATGATGATGTGTGATAGTGTTTGGGCATTTACAGATGTTCAAGCAAGCCGCCAACACACGCAGACACACGCGCACGCACACAATCACATTCTTACTCAGAACAGCTGATCGACTTGTGGAGTTGGAATGCATCTTAGGTGCACAAACAGCTCAATAAACCTGTCAGGAAGAAAGGAGCGCGGGCAGGATGGAAAGTTCCATCGTTGATGAATCCATTGTGTATAAAAAATGTTTTTTTAAGTAAAACCACCATCACGCTGACGGAGCATTGGGAACTGGCGCTTCTTCCCTTTGGAGCATCAGATCGCGACAACAGTGCAGAAAAAACGCTGAAAACCTCGACGTGCCGGTTCTTGGCTTATATAGCCGGACGCAATGCAGAAAATAAATTCGGTCAAATTGAAACGGAAATAGTTTGCAGGTACGTGGAGTTGATCAGACTCCGTATCACCACGAACTGACAGTGTCTTCGTTGGGCAGTTTGTGTCAGTCGTGCGCTGCCCTCCCTGCAATAAAATGATGACCCATGAAAAAAGTTTTTCCCCACATTGACGTGTGGGGTTTTTGTTTTTAGTTCTGTATCCGCCTTCCGCCTCCTCCGCCTCCTCCGCCGCCTCCCGCCTCCCGTCCCCTCCCGTCCCCTCACTCACACTCACTCACTCACTCAATCACTCACATCACTCACATCACTCACATCACTCACATCACTCACATCACTCACATCACTCACATCACTCACATCACTCACATCGCTCGCTCGCTCACTCACTCACTCACTCGCTCACTCGCTCGCTCACTCACTCGCTCACTCACTCACTCACTCACTCACATCACTCACATCACTCACATCACTCACATCACTCACATCACTCACATCACTCACATCACTCACTCACATCACCTCACATCACCTCACCTCACCTCACCTCACCTCACATCACATCACATCACATCACATCACTCACTCACTCACCTCACTCACCTCACTCACCTCACTCACCTCACTCACCTCACTCACCTCACTCACCTCACTCACCTCACTCACCTCACTCACCTCACTCACCTCACTCACCTCACTCACCTCACTCACCTCACTCACCTCACTCACCTCACCTCACCTCACCTCACTCAC